GACGGGTGGCACTGCTGGGCACACTGATGATGCTGCACTGATATGCAGAAATGATGGGCACTGATGGGCGGCACTGATGGTTGGCACTGCTGGGCACAGGTGGGTGGCACTGAAGGGCACAGGCGGGTGGCACTGTTGGGTGGCACTCCTCGGCACTGATAATCAGTGCCGATCTGTTCTCTGACAATTGCCAGTTATTGGCAGTACTTTCCTCATGCAGCGTGAGGAAAGTGCAGCTGATAACCGATAACTGTATTTACCCAGTGATCTGCTGTGTCATTGGACACAGCTGATCATGTGGTAAAAGGCCGCTGTGACTGGCCATTTACCACATCATGTGATCAGCTGTGTCTGTAGGACACAGCAATCACGGAGATTACTGGGGGCACGCAGGAGGGCGCATTCTGGGAGGATGTCATGTGACATCCACCGAGAACTGCACAACCGCGCTGTAGTCGTCATTCGACTATAGTGCGGTCGGCAAGTGGTTACAGCAGAACTACATAGTCATGGCGTCTTCCTGGGATGTCCACATAGAGATCTGTCACCAGGAGAGATCATCAAGTATGACCTAGAGATAAAAGCACTGATCCAGTGGAGGAGGAGAGATTAAGAGAGTGGTGGCCTCTGGAGGAAGAATCTGTACTCTGGACACATACCAGTACATGTCCGCTTCTTCATGATGTGAGGTCAAAAACTCCAGGTGAGGGCACATCTGGTGGTTATTACGTGGAGGATTTAGTTTATATGAAGACAGAAGCTTTGATATTGATTCAAGTTGAAGACACCACTATTGAGAGACTTTTATATTGATGCATGTTCACTTTAATTCAACATGCACACACACACAGAAATATGTACACACATGCACAGAAACACAAGCACTATATATTTTGCATTTCTTTTTGATCTATATTATTTACAGGGAAGTTCTGCGCTGTATAATTATATTTAATTATATCTGAGCTCCACAAAGCAAAAATGCTATTTAATTAATTTTTATTATTCAAGCAAACTCAACCATCTGTGTCTCCATGCTTTGTTTTGCTGAGAAATAACTTTGAAAAACAACCCCCTAGCACAGGGCTCAAAATTTCAAGTCATGAGCTACTAGCCAGGCCTTAGAAGTTACTTTCCACCAGTTGACCCACCCAACTCCTACCATGCCCTGTCCCTAAACACGCCCTCGTAAATTATCTCATAAAATTACACTGTTAAATGTTACCCACATTACATCGGGGTTCCCAGAGTCCCCCTACATTATATCAGGGTCCCCAAAGTCCCCCCACATTACATGGGAGCATCCAATGTCCCCCTAAGCACTACATCATACATAGACCATGCACTGCATACAATCAAAACCCCCCCATAATCTTTCACTCACCAAACCATAACTCTGCCAAGCATGTCCTACCTTCTATCCAACCCAGCAGTACCTCAAATGCCCCATCCTCTACCACCCATAATAACCACGTCATCCTGAACTTGACCAAACCACCCATACATGTATGTTTGTTTACACACAAACACATGTACACACACACACACACAGAAACATGTACACACATGCACAGAAACACAAGCATACACACACATGTACATAAACACACACATGTACATACACAGCCCTATAAAAAGTTGCAGTACTTCGTTACCTTCACTCACAGAGCCAGGTACTGCACTCTAGGGGGAGGCAGAGAGCAGAGCCTGCACTCCTTCCTTTGCTTTCACTTTGCTAAACTATTGAGCAGTCTGACGGCTCCCAATGCGAGTGACAGAGCCAGTCCTGAGTTCCGAGCCTGCTCAGCAAGACAGTCCTGGGGGACACACTCACCCCCACTTTAATTTCCACTCGCCAATGCGAGCAGGTGAGTGTAAATTTCTAGGCCTTCCCTAGCATTTCTGGCTGTAGCCATCTTGAATAAGGGCAGATGATTGTTTCCTGGAATCCATCAGCCCTTAGTTCAGACTTACGAGCAAGAGGGCGTTCTTAGCTGAGAAACCCCTCCAGAAGACTCCTGGGATGTATGACCTAATTTGCCTAGGCAAAAAAACAGGAAGTAACTGAGGAAACTTAGATAAAAAAGTAAATATGATTACTTTCCTTTTATTTACTAATGCTAGCAGCATAAGGATTACAAACAATCAATGTTTATTTATGAGAGTGACGTTCCACTTTAAGGAACAATGTAATAAACTGCCAGTATGCAGGGTATATTTCCTGCAATTTGTGCCCCGTAGACCCACTAACCAGTTCACTTCCTTTAATGACAGCTCAACCTCTCGGCACTAAAAGAATGTTACATCTCATAGAAGGCCTGATTACCTGAAGAAGTGAGCAATTGGTAATGACTGGCACTCTGAAGTTCACTATGTGAGTACCCCAGATAATGTAACATTTTCACTATGCTTTATCCTACCTCTATTATACAGGTCAAAGTATTTTTTGTAGAATGAGAAGGGTTAGAGCCTTGGTTTGAATATCAGTCTATAAACCAAATAGTGAGATTTCCTATCACTTCCTTGAACAGAAAACAAGTGGAACCTCCCCAATGAGGACACATAGGACTTTTATAGAACAGTGGAGAAGGGTGGGTATCTCTGCTATCTCTGTCAGGTTTTCCTGCTGTGTCTTGATTGGGAAGATTCCCCTAAACTTCCTGTGTGGTTCCTAAGACAGAAAATTAGGAAAATCTCCTCAAACTGCACAGGCAGCTTTAAAGCTGACAGAGGTTCTAGCCCTACCCTGCTCTAACTAAGATAAAAAAAATTGTATCTGGAATTTCACTTGATTATTTTGATTTGATCCTTTATCACTACAACAGCATTAGGTTGGCCAATCACTGCAGAAAAAAAAAATATGTTTTTGCAAGGTTTTCAACAATTAGGCTGTGTAAGGATTCACACCTTGTGTGGTGCCATTTATTCTTTGGATAAAAAATAAGCATTCTCAAAATCGTGCAGATCCTCTTGTGTATTGAGGTATATTGACAGCCACATTCAATATGAATGGACTGCCTTAACACATGAGAATATGTGTTTTTGTTTATTCATGCATACATGTGAATTGGTCCGAATGCTTTCACTGACACACATCCATCCACCAGATGGAATGGGAAGATGATCAATGACAGATCCAAAAATGTTTAAGATGGCTGATAGCAGCCTGTTATTTTAAGATGGACACTTGCCACATATGGTCACCTTAATCCTGACCATACACGTCAGTACTGGCCATACACACGCTTTTAAATTACTACAGCTAAACACATCAAGAAAATGAAAATTCCTAACATTTCAGGGTTTCAAGAGAAAATATTGGTAGTTGGTTGCATTGAACTATTCGGTCACTTTTGCTATCCAAAGCTGGATAATAGCAGCTCAGATTGCCTGGAAATTGCTGTTTGCTTCACAGGGTGGAGTAAACAAGATCATCACATCCAGATCTGCCTGATCCCTCTAATAATAGTGTTCAGAAATGTTATGCCATATCACCAAAGCCTAGTACACGCAATCAGAAAATCATCCGAAAAATACTACTTTTGAAGGGTTCGTAAAAAATTTGATTGGTAGTACACAGCTTTCGTCCAAAAATTATTTGAATGGACAAGCACAAACATTTTTCCATTTTTCTCAAATTGTACCATTTCATACAATTTCCATTTAATCAGCACAGTTTGAGTCCGAAAATACAATAAAAATACACTATGTCACTTCTGAATTTTCTTTCTGTCATACAAGAATTTTTGTAACTTTAAAAACCTCTTCACTTTCGATATGAGACTAGCATGCAAAGAAAACAAATCGATAATTCCTCCAATATTCTCATCATGTGTGGCTTAAGCGCCATCTACCCCACTGTTCTAAAATCAGAGCTGTTCCCTTCACCTTAAAGTCAACTTACCTTTGTCATAATGAGTTTCTGATGTGGCACCCTCCAGATTTTGCTGGTTCTCCTTCATGACGTCTTTCTGGAGCTCAAAATCATTTTCATCAGATTCTACAAAATCACTCATCGAGAAATCTGCATCTTCTTCTTCTTCTTCAATTTTCTAAAAATGACAAGAAAGTAGTTATGTGCAGGTTTTTGTTTCATTGCAGTGTTTCTTCTTTGGCTCTGTGTGTAATATCTATATTTCAGTTATGCAATTCTTTCTGCAGTCACTGGAAACATACTCCCTTGTCAGCAGAGAATTCCACCTTATAGTATGTTGCTTTCAATGAATAAAGACCTGCTAGAATTACCACTAATAAGATTACAACAAGATACAAGAAACATTACATAAGAAGGGCCATTTATCACTGTTTTCTTCCTGACTTCCACCACCTTTGCAGTAAGTCTCTTAAAGTTATTCCCATAATTGTCAGGACTTTGAAGTTGTATAAGTAATTTGTATCAACTAAGAGTCTCAGGAATCAAAGGGAGGCTGGACTGGACATCCGCAGTTATAAGATATTGAATGCAAGCTATCTGCTCACCATCAGCATAAGCACAGTATGGGGTGGGGTAGCTAGGGTGAAAGATAACATGATTCCTAGATCCTGCAGGAACAGGTGCAATTATCCATGCATTGATGATTTGAGAAATCAAAATGTAACAGATGATGTACTACAAGGTACTCTGTAAACACTTAGCGAGATGTGCAGGGATAAGGAGTGAAGTATCTACCTTATCTAATACAGTATCCTGAAATCCAGTGGGTAACATCGTGAAGTTTCTCTGATGTGTGATATGTTTTTCATACTACTTAGTGAACTCTGTGCCATATTTACTGGGCCAACAGCTGTGAACCCATTTTCAGAACGGATTTGTGACAAATCAGTTTTGCAGTTTTCTCTACACTGTTATTAGCTCCTGGCCAACAGCTACAAGATGTATTTACTTGCAGGTGTTATATGAGAAGGTAGAACACCCATTTATAGACTGTGAAAATGCAATATCATTTCACACTATAGATGTACATTTCAAATAAAACCAATACTGACACAATTTTTACCAGTTAGACTCCATTCACATAAGTAGGAGAAAAAAGACCAACTTTAATAGAGCTAAATACTTTTTTCACATCCCTGTGTCTCAATTTTCTGATCATTCTCACCTTTCTGGGCCAGCAGAATAGGGCCAGCAATCCTACAGGCAGAGCAGCTGTCAGCAAGTACAAACCCCAGAGCCACGGCCTCTCATCAGCAGCAGCAAGAAGCTGGTTTATCATGCCTGGCTGGAGAGAAACAGAATAACCCATTAACTGCGGTGTCCTAGAGAAAGCATCTTCTAGCGCAAGCAGCTGAACTGGTATGAACTTACCAGTTACAATAGATCAGAACAGGAAAGCTTCATCAGCCTGCAGGCCCTTGGTACTACTGTCCATGTCTGTGCTGGTGGGCATATACCATGTTGTATTCAACACACAATATCAAAGCTTCCTATGTTCTTCAAAACGTGGTTTGTTTTTGGTTTCATGATTTCTTTATTTATGAACAAAAATATTTAAACTAAAAACTTTATAAAAATAACAAATGAAGATTGTGTTAATGTGTTCTATCCAGGGGCGGACTGACCATTTGAGCACTCGGGCACTGCCCGAGGGCCCGGGGTCAGTAGGGGGCCCCATGAGATGCCCCTGGTACCTTTCATTGGCTGTTTCATAGGCTTTTTTGAGTGTGGGCAAGGACACAGGGGCCCCATGATCCCTTATTGCCCGGGGGCCCCATGAGTTGTCAGTCCACCCCTGGTTCTGTCAAATTTATTTTTATTTTATTATTTTTGATTATTTTGAAATTATAATAACAAATTATTTTGTTAATTTGTTCTATCATTTAGGCATCTCAAAGATACTCAGGAAAAAAGGTATAGGCCTATTATATTACCAGTTTCTTTGATATATTGTATATGGGTAAATAATGGGTACATATATTGTAAAGATTGCCTGTCCCATTGAGCAGACTTCTGTGACTCTTTAAGACTAACAATTTCACAATGTTAGTTCTTGGAATTACAGCAAAAGCATTCACTTTGTAGACAGATATCAAAATCCTTGTCTACTTGCTCATGTAATTGGTTTGCCATCTATCCACAAAGTTTGCAGAGGTCAAATTAGAGACAGCCGGCTGTATAGATTATGCCTTTGCCAACAATCCACACTGGAGTCCCAATTTTTTATGTGGCCATTTTGTACATTACTTCTGGCATTTCTGCCGAGTTATTTGCGCTATTAAAAAAAGGATGCTGATGTTGCAAGGTTACTGCAAAACTGGGACCAATAATGTAATCATAGAAAAGATGGAGCCTCCCACCGACCACTCACTTTGAAAGACTTCATCAATTGTGATGGAATTACTTAACTCAATATCTATTGAATGGATAAGAAAAAATTACTAGCATAAGTCATATACAAAATGACCAGGAAGTTTATCTGTGGAGTTTTTGTTAAAATTTATGGTGAGATAGACATGATCCAGCCAATTAATTCATGCACCCTCTTTCTATGGCCCAGGGGATCAGAAAGTGCCCAGTTATTACTATATTTGTTCTCCCATGAATGATTTCCCTCTAGTGTTGGTATGCCTTTACTAAACACTTTCTGCAGAAACCAAATTTAATTTTCTCTAACAAACTTTTGCTTTAATTTCAACAAACCTGTCAGGTTTAGGCAGATTGCTTGAACGCAGACAGCAAAAGGTTCCTGCCAGTACCTACAGTATATCATGCACAGAATCACCTTTGTGCCCCCAGGAAGCTTTGTACAGCCTTTTCAGAGATTTCATTTTCTGTGATTTAACGTGGCCATAGATGGGGACCTGCTGAATTTCGATCCATGTATGGCCACCATGTAGGGCCACTGCAGCCTACCAATCGACTTCTGTTCAACCACCCTGTCAGATTAAATCTGCTCGATCAGCGGCCGCAGTGCAGATCTGTGTATTCTGACAGAAGGGTAGTCTATCCGCTGTCAGAAAACAATAGCGCAGGTGGTTGCATCATTGTTATGATGAGGTCTCATTCACTTGAATTGGGCGTGTTTGCCAGTGGTATCACCTACACTACATGCTTGTATAGATTTGCGCTGCTCAAAAACTGCAGCAATGTTTACAGGTAGTGGTAACTTGGCCATGGGTGGTTGGGAGGGGGGTTGACCTAAAAACACGGATCAACCGCCTATTTTTGCTGTCCCTCAAGCTGTTTGTGTGAAGGACACCTATACAGTAGGGAAAACAATTATTCGATCCCCTATAGATTTTGTAAGTTTTCCCACTTACAAAGAAATGAAGGGTCTATCATTTTTATCATAGGTGAATTTTAAATGATAGAGACAGAATCAAATAAAATAAACAATGTCCGCGCTGACTAGAAGTGTAAGGCAGCTAACACCAATAGGTATTATAGAAACCTAAATATATAAAAATAAAACTTAAAGTGTAGCACCAAACATATACTAGTGAAACTGAAAAATATCAAAACAAATATAGTGTGATAAAGTTTATCACACTCTATTTGTTTTGATATATTTCAGTTTTACTAGTATATGTTTGGCGCTACACTTTGTTTTATTTTTATAGAGATGTATAAATATATAGACAAATATTATAAATTGTGTTTCAGTTCAATGAATGAAATAAGGATTTTATCCCCAAGCAAAACATGACTTAACACTTGGTGGAGAAACCCTTGTTGGTAAGCACAGAGGTAAGACGTTTCTTGTAGTTTGTTACCAGGTTTGCACACATCTCAATAGGGATTTTAGTCCACTCTTCTTTACAATTCTTCTCTAAATCCTTAAGGTTTCTTGACTGTTGGTAACTCAAAGCTTCAGCTCCCCCATACATTTTCTATAGAAGTAAGGTCTGGCGACTGACTAGGCCATTCCATGATCTTAATGGCCTTAAATGTGCTTTCTCCTGAGCCACTCCTTTGTTGCTTTGATGGTATGTTTTGGGTCATTGTCATGCTAGAAGACCCATCCATGACCCATCTTCAGTGTTCTGGCTGAGGAAAAAAGGTTCTCATCCATGATTTTACAAAACATGGCCCTGTTCATTGGTCCCTCAATGCGGCAAAAGTTGGCCTGTACCTTTAGCAGAAAAACAGCTCCAAAGCATAATGTTTCCACCTCCGTGCTTGACTGTAAGGATGGTGTTTTTAGGGTCATAATTAGCATTTTTTTCTTCCTCCAAACACGGCAAGTCAAGTTAATGCCAAAGAGCTCAATTTTGGTCTCATCTGACCACAGCACTTTCTCCCAATCCTTCTCTGAATCCTTTAGATGTTCATTGGCAAACTTCAGATGGTCCTGTACATGTCCTTCTTGAGAAGGGGGACCTTGCGGGCACTGCAGGATTTCAATCCATGGCGGCATATTGTGTTGCCAATTGTTTGGTGACTATGGTCCCAACTGCCTTGAGATCATTCACAAGCTCCTCCCGTGTAGTTTTAGGCTGATCCCTCACTTTTCTCATTATCATCCTTACCCCATGAAGCGAAATCTTGCATGAAGATCCAGACCGATGGTGATTAATAGTTATTTTGTATTTTTTCCATTTGCAAATAATTGCTTCAACAGTTGTCTCCTTCTCACCAAGCTTCTTGCTGATGGTATTGTAGCCATTCCAGCTTTGTGCAGATCTACAATCTTGTCCCTGACATCCCTTGACAGCTCTTTGCTCTTGCCCATGGTGGTGCCCAAGAAAGAGATTCTCTGGACAGGTGTATTTTATACACATAACAAGTTGTCATCAGGAGCACCTTCTTAACCTCCCAGTCTGTGGGAGCCAGAATTATTGTTGATTGGTAGGGGATCAAATACTTATTCTACTCACTGAACTGCAACTCAATTAGACCCATCTCCCTGCTGCCATTCACTTCCAAGCTCCTTGAGCGCTTAACCTACAATCGCCTAAGCACCCACCTCACTGATAACAACCTCCTTGATCCACTACAGTCTGGCTTCCGTCCCCTACACTCCACCGAAACCGCCCTACTTAAAATCACTAACGACCTGCTAACCGCCAAAGCTAATGGCCACTACTCAGTCCTCCTGCTCCTCGACCTCTCCGTGGCCTTTCAGCGACCACCCCCTCATTACTGCACTCCTTTGGCATCAGGGACGCTGTTCTCTGGTCCTGGCTTTCCCCCTACCTAACGCTCAGCTTACCTCCTGGCTTTCCCCCTACCTCCCAACGCTCCTTCAGCATTACCTATAACGCTGCCTCCTCTCTCCCCCTCTCTGTTGGAGTCCCCCAAGGCTCTGTCCTCGGACCCCTCCTCTTCTCCATCTACACCTCCTCCCTTGGCAAACTGATACACTCCCACGGCTTCAACTATCACCTCTATGCCGACAACACACAAATTTACCTCTCCACCCCTCACCTCACCCCCCCCCCCCCTCTCTCTCCGCCCGCATCGCCCACCTCCTGAACGACATATCAGACTGGATGTCACTCCATTTCCACAAGTTAAACCTGTCCAAAACTGAGCCCCTAGTTTTCCCCCCAGCCCGCGCTCCCCCTCCCCCATCCTCTCCATCACGACTAGCAACGCCACCATCAATCCCACCCCTCACGCCAAAGTCCTGGGTGTCACCCTGGACTCAAACCTTTCCTTCCGACCTCATGTCCAATCGCTATCAAAGTCATGCAGGCTCCACCTCCGCAACATCTCCAAGATAAGTATGTTCCTCACCCCAAAACTACTAAACGACTCGTACACTCCCTCATCATCTCACACCTGGACTATTGCAACTCCCTTCTCACTGGCCTACCCAAACAAATGCTATCCCCACTCCAGTCTATCCTGAACTCAGCAGCTAGACTCATCCACCTCACCAACCGCTCCACATCTGCCTCCCCCCTCTGCCAATCCCTTCACTGGCTCCCGATTGCCCAACGCAATAAATTCAAATTACTAACTCTGACATACAAAGCCATTCACAATGCTGCCCCAAACTACCTAACTGACCTGATACCCAAATACCACCCTACCCGTGCCCTTTCGCTCCTCACAGGACCTCCTACTCTCCAGCTCCCTGGTCTCCTCCTCCCACGCCCAACTGCAGGACTTCTCCAGGACTTCCCCCATCCTCTGGAACTCCCTAACCCAATCCATCAGAATGTCACCTACCCTCCTCACCTTCAGGCGCACCCTGAAAACCCATCTCTTCAGGGAAGCCTACCCCACCCTCACCTAACAACTGATCTCCTCTACTCCTCCTACCACTCCATCCCCCACAGCCACTTCCTCCTGTACCACTATCCCCTCCCTCCTAGATTGTAAGCTCGAAAGAGCAGGGCCCTTGAATCCCTCGTGTATTGTATTGTACTGTATTGTCTCATGTTCTGTCCCCCTCGCTAATGTACAGTGCTGAGCAAACCTTTTGGCGCTATATAAACACTATAATAATATGTTTATTCTGGGGTTGATATTCTGTCTCTATCATTTAAAATACACCTGTGATAAAAATGACAGACCCTTCATTTCTTTGCAAGTGGGCAAACCTACAAAATCTGCAGGGGATCAAATAATTGTTTTCCCCCCTGTATAAGGGGAAATCCTACAAGCAGGTGACAATAAAAACTAGCAGAGGATCTTACCTTTCCCTGCTCTAATCAAAATTAAGAAAGAAAGTTTTGCCCTGACTTGGGTTTTAGTGAATACAGTGGGGATCGAAAGCTTGGGCACCCCAGCTAAAAATTTGTATTAATGTGCATAAAGAAGCCAAGGAAAGATGGAAAAATCTCCAAAAGGCATCAAATTACAGATTAGACATTCTTATAATATGTCAACAAAAGTTAGATTTTATTTCCATCATTTACACTTTCAAAATAACAGAAAACAAGAAAATGGCGTCTGCAAAAGTTTGGGCACCCTGCAGAGTTAATATCTTGTACTGCCCCCTTTGGCAAGTATCACAGCTTGTAAACACTTTTTGTAGCCAGCCAAGAGTCTTTCAATTCTTGTTTGAGGTATCTTTGCCCATTCTTCCTTACAAAAATCTTCCAGTTCTTTGAGATTTCTGGGCTGTCTGTCACGCACTGCTCTTTTAAGGTCTATCCATAGATTTTCAATTATGTTGAGGTCAGGAGATTGTGAAGGCCATGGCAAAACCTTCAGTTTACGCCTCTTGATGTAATCCCCCGTGGATTTCGAGGTGTGTTTAGGATCATTATCCATTTGTAGAAGCCATCCTCTCTTTAACTTCAGCTTTTTCACAGATGGCATCAAGTTACCATCCAAAATTTGCTGAAATTTTATTGAATCCATTTTTCCTTCTACTCGTGAGATGTTCCCTGTGCCACTGGCTGCAACACAACCCCAAAGCATGATTGATCCAACCCCATGCTTAACAGTTGGACAGAGGTTCTTTTCATTAAATTCTGTGCCCCTTCTTCTCCAAACGTACCTTTGCTCATTCCGGCCAAAAAGTTAAATTTTAACCTCATCGGTCCACAGAACTTGTTTCCAAAATGCATCAGGCTTGTCTATATACTCATTTGCAAAGTTCAAATGATGATTTTTGTGGTGAGGACGTAGAAGAGGTTTTCTTCTGATGACTCTTCCATGAAGACCATATTTGTACAAGTATCTCTTTATAGTGGAATAGTGTACCACAACTCCGGTGTCTGCCAGATCTTTCTGGAGGAATCGTGCAGTCAAACGTGGGTTTTGAATTGTTTTTTCTCACAATCCTGCGAGCTGTTCTGTCTGATATTTTTCTTGGTCTTCCAGATCTTGCTTTAACTTCTACTGTTCCTGATGACTGCCATTTCTTAATTACATTCCGAACAGAGGATATTGACATCTGAAAACGCTTTGCTATCTTCTTATAGCCTTCTCCAGCTTTGTGAGCGTCAACTATTTTCAGTTTCAGTTTTCTAGACAACTGCTTAGAAGAACCCATGGTGCTGATTGTTGGGGCAAGGTCAGATGAGTCTGGGCATTTAAAACCTTTGAGACTGACATAACCTGGTCTTCACAGACAATGATTGAGAACAATCCATGACACTGGCAGGTCTCAGCTTTGCAAAGGGGGCAGTGCATGCTATAAATTCTGCAGGGTGCCCAAACTTTTGCAGACGCCATTTTTTTGTTTTCTGTCATTTTGAAAGTGTAAATGATGGAAATAAAATCTAACTTTTGTTGACATATTATAAGACTGTCTAATCTGTAATTTGATGCCTTTTGGAGATTTTTCCATCTTTCCTTGGCTTCTTTATGCACATTAATACAAATTTTTAGCTGGGGTGCCCAAACTTTCGATCCCCACTGTACATAAGAGTGATGAAGGACCCATCTATCCTGCTGATTGGACAATAATGGAGCAGCAGCAGCAAGCTGTGCTCTTTCCTCATGTAAACATTGTAGCAATAAATCATTAAAAGCCCAGGAAAATGCCATTAAGTAATACCATTAAGAAAATACCATTAAGTAATGAATACCATTAAGAAAATACCTTTGCCTGAAGCCTCGGTTGTCAATGAGTTTGCATTCTGGATCTTCAAAAAAGGATCTCTTTTACAACGTACTATATAAATGTCTTTTTGTGGGCTCCAAATATTGTAATTTCTAATAAAGTTCAAAGTTTGCACACCTCTTCTCCTTCTTGATCCTTTAAATCACCATAAATTATGGTCTAATCTACAACTGCCTAATTACAACATATACATTCACCCTGACCATTGGCAAAGTATTACATACCTTTTCACTCCAATAACATCAATCAGATGAAGGTTTTAGTAACTGTGTTCTCAGCTAAACTGAAACATTAGTGAGGTGCATAGATTATTTTGGCCAACATTATGCATCTATAATCATTATTGTATTCATAGAAATCTGACACTATATGGAACCCACACACTTCATATCTATACAAGCATAGACAACTGGGTTAAAAAGGGACATTTGGCATGTACAATGCATACTTATGTGCAGTGTTTATAGGATCGCTTATCTGCTCATACAAAATGTGTGTTGTAAGCAGAAATCACCATACACCCCTATCAATGAGCGTACTTCATCAAGTAACTTATGCTGCAAAGTACCTCATTAGCACTGGCTACCAGTTTTTTCAATCCCCAGCTATCAGAGGCCCAACGATCAGCCACTTCCTTTTCAGAGCAGATTATGAAGTTGTCAAAGTAGATGTCAGGAGTCATTGACCACAGTTCCAACCCAATAGCACTAAATGTTGTCATTTTAAATGGGTTAAGGTCTTCAAAGTAGTATGGGTTGGGAATTTTTCGTGGTTTCCAAATACCCTGCAAAAGAGAAAATTATTATTAAAAGCAACAATTTCTAATGGTCATATACAATGCTTCACAAAGTATCTCTCCCCACCATTGGTGTTTTTTTTACTGTTTTGTTGCATTATAAACTAGAATTATAATTTTTGGGGGGTTTGTATCATATGTTATACACAACATGCCTACAACTTGGAAGGTGCAATTATTTTTTTCTTGCTGTGACCCGTCACCCAAACAATAGTTAAGACAAAATAAAACAGAAATTGTGAGTGTGCATAAGTATTCACTCCTCCCGCATACCAAAAGTCAATACTTTGTACAGCCATCATTTGTTGCAAATACAACTGCAATATTACAATACCTGCAGCACAGGTATTGCTGTCAAGAAAGAACTTGTACATGTTTTATCAAAAGATTCAGATGGATAAATAAACCTGCAGCTGGCAGGAGAAATCTTATTGTATTAGAGAAAGGTAGAAGCACCAGGTGATAATCTTGAGGAACCTTTATGTTACTAGAGCTGACCATTACCTGGTAATTGGGGTTCTCAATCATAGGAGGCTTCCATTTCCCCTTGTAATTTGGATTGTCTATAAGAGGTGGACTCCATTCCCCACATCCAGGAGCAGTTTTGCACTGTGAGTTTGGAACCAGAGGAGCCTCCCATTCTCCATCCATGTCATCATTCCTGTCAACAAAAAGAGTTAATCCTTTTACTCTGATCATTACAGAAGATTAGATCTGATGAATACAGACAGATTGGTACCTATTCCTTGCATAATTCATATGATCTAACCTGATTATTCTTGAAGCCACATATACAAGCTGCAATTTATATATTAAAAAAACTGGTATATTGGCTTCACTTCTGAGGTGCAACTAGTTACATTTTGTATAATTTAAGGCATAATGTAGTGTGCTTTGCAATGCATATAGTGCCTTGAGAATGTATTCATATCCCTTGAAATTTTCCACATTTTGTCATGGTACAAAAATGTAAATGTATTTTATTGGGATTTTATGTAATAGACCAACACAAAGTGGCACCTAATTGTGCAGTGGAAGGAAATTGATAAATACTTTGTAGAACCACCTTTCACTGCAATTACAGCCTTTTTGGGGATATCTCTACCAGCTTTGCACATCTAGAGAGTGACATTTTTGCCCATTCTTCTTTGCAAAATAGCTCATGATCTGTCAGATTGGATGGAGAGTGTCTGTGAACAGCAATTTTCAAGTCTTGCCACAGATTCTCAATTGGATTTAGGTCTGAACTTTGACTGGGCTATTCTAACACAGGAATATGCTTTGATCTAAACCATTCCATTGTAGCTCTGGCTGTATGTTTAGGGTTGTTGTCCTGCTGGAAGGTGAACCTCAGCCCCAGTCTCACGTCTTTTGCAGACTCTTAACAAGTTTTCTTCTAAGATTGCCCTATATTTGGCTCCATTCATCTTTCATCAACTCTGACGAGCTTCCCTGTCCCTGCTGAAGAAAAGCATCTCCACAATATGCTGCGGCCACCATATTTCACTGTGGGGATGGTGTGTTCAGGGTGATGCTCAGTGTTAGTTTTCCACCACACGCAGCATTTTGCTTTTCGGCAAAAAGTTCAATATTGGTCTCATCTGACCAGAGCACCTTCTAACACATGTTTGCTGTGTCCCCCACATGGCTTCTCGCAAACTGAAAACAGGACTTTCTTATGGCTTTCTTTCAACAATGGCTTTCTTCTTGCCACTCTTCCATAAAGGCCAGATTTGTGGAGTGCACGACTAATATTTGTCCTGTGGACAGATTCTCCCACCTGAGCTGTGGATCTCTGCAGCTCCTCTAGAGTAACCATGGACCTCTTGGCTGCTTCTGTAATTAATGCTCTCCTTGCCCGGCCTGTCAGTTTAGGTGGATGGCCATGTCTTGGTAGGTTTGCAGTTGTGCCATACTCTTTCCATTTTCGGATGATGGATTGAACAGTGGTCCGTGAGATGTTCAGAGCTTGGGATATTTTTTTTATAACCCAACTCTGCTTAAAATGTCTCCACAACTTTATCCCTGACTTGTCTGAGGGCTTCACAGAACATCTGTATTTATACTGAGATTACATTACACACAGGTGGACCCTATTTACTAATTAGGTGACTTCTGAAGGCAAATGGTTCTGCTACATTTTAGTTAGGGGTATCAGAGTAAGAGGGGGCTGAATACAAATGCACACCACAACTATTTATTTGTAAAGAAAATTTTGAAACCCATTTATCATTTTCCTTCCACTTCAGAATTATGTGCCACTTTGTATTGGTCTATCACATAGAATCCCAATAAAATACATTTATGTTTTTAGTTGTAACATGACAAAATGTGGAAAATTTTAAGGGGTATGAATACTTTTTCAAGGCACTGTACCTATAACGTCAGGGTTCAAAAATTAAGTAAAGCATAGGTTGATATGATGTACATATATGATGATACATATTTACAAAAGTGCAGGCAGCATTCTAGAAACACATTTTGGGAAAATAATCTGGACATTAATAAGCATATCCAGAACTCCAACTTTTAAGTAATGCACCATATTTTTTTTTTCATGATGATGTGTCTTACATAAGTACAGGCAAGGTTTTAGAAGTACATTTTTGGAACATACTCTGAAGAACGGCAATGATAGATTAGGCTATAAACACTATTACAGGCAAATGCATCAGCTCCTTTGTGTATAAGCCTTAAAGTGTTTGCAAACTCTTACATACACCCAGTGAAGTGTCTGGCCTGAGGTGATACACAAAGATGAAACAAATCATCCTACATACTGTAAGTATCTATCTATCTACAGCTGTCTTTCTCCTACATCCATTCAAAGTGCAGAAATTGCACAGGATCTCTCAACTATGAAAAGCCAGGGGCGGGGAGCTGAAGGAGAGCTCTGAGAGCTGATTGGAAGGAAGAGACACCCCCCCCCCTCCACACAGCTCACAGGAACAGAGCTGAATGTGTCAATCTGTTGAAGAACCCTCCCCTGTCACCATTTTTCTCTTGCTGTCAGGAAAACTTGCAGAAGTGATCCATGCTTATAGTAAAGGCAGGGGCGGACTGACCATTTGGGAACTCGGGCACTGCCCGAGGGCCCGGGGTCAGTAGGGGGCCCCATGAGGTGCCCATGGTACCTTTCATAGGCTTTTTTGGGTGTGGTTTGAGTGTGGGTGATCCCCTATTGCCCGGGGGTCCCATGAGTTGTCAGTCCGCCCCTGGGTAAAGGAATGAAGCAGCAGACAGAAATGACAATTAGTGCTCTGGATTGCGACAGGTACACACTATAGAGGGATATGCTTTGTTCAAATTTCATGTCTGAGGTTTACAACCACTTTAAAGAAAACCTGTCATTTGAGAAATATCACGGCTATCACTGATCATCTCCTTCTGAAAATGCTTGCACTTAGTGCTCTGGATTGGAACAAGTAGACACTATAGAGGGGTATGCTTTGTTAATATTTCATGTCTGAGCTTTACAAGCAGTTTAACCACTTGCCATGCACCCTAGAGCAGAAGTACTGCTACGGGTCGGCAGGACAGCGCAAAGTCATGTATATATACATGATTTGCATTTCTGAGTAGGGGGCGCACACGCAACCATCAATCTACCCACACTGCTATTGGAGGCTAGGGATGTCAATCACCGGGTCCCACAGGTCTCTCTCTTGTCTGCATGAACATGCGATTTTGTATGTCTTTGCACAGCAGAGAGATACAAAGCAGCATGTCTCACCAGAAAAACACAACACAGTGCATACAGTAAAAAACACACACAGCACACTGTTAACCGTTTGATCACCCAGATGTTAACCCTAGTGTCATTCACTTTTTATTAGCACTGATCACTGTAATACTGTCACTGCGGAAGTCAGTGGCAGTTAGTTAGTTCCCACCCATTGTCAGAATGCCTGCTGCAGTCCCACAGTCCAGCTATAAGTCGCTGATCGCCGCCATTACTAGTATATAAAATAAACATTCCAGTATATTTAACGTAATTTGTAGATGCTATAACTTTCATGTAAACCAATTAATTTACATGGGATTTTTTTTAGCAAAGACGTGCAGCAGAATACATTTTGGCCTAAGTGTATGAAGAAATTTGATTCTTAAAATTTTTTTATTAGATACGTTTTATAGCAAAAAGAAAAAAATACTGTTTTTTCCCCCAAAATTCTTGGTGTTTTTTTGTTTATAGTGCAAAAAATAAAAACCACAGAGGTGATCAAATACCACTGGAAGAAATCTCTATTTGTGGAGAAAAAAGAAAATAAATTTAATTTATGTACACAGCTGTACGACCGTTAAAGTAACGCAGCGCAGTATCGCAAAAAATGGCATGGTCAGGAAGGAGGATAAATCCTCTGGAGAGCAAATGGTTAAAGAAAACCTGTCATTTGAGAAATATCATGGCTATCACTGATCATCTTCTGAAAATGCTTGTTCTTCAGGTGTCAGGCTGACTTTAGCTTCATTGCGTTCTCATTAACTGATCTATAACAAATTGGAGTTCTGCTTTGCTTCGACATTACTTGCCACATACACATTCCATACATTGAAATTTGCATAAACACGGCGTTTAGGAGCAGTCTACGTTTTCATGTGTACATCAATTATAGTGAAAAATGAACAGAGGGGAATGTTTTGGAAAAAAAGGGCTTATAAACCTGGGTTCACATATATGCGGTGCGGTATATCGCATGTGATTCTCACAGGAACCGCACCACATTCCTGTGCAAATCACATGCGATTTGTGTGCGGAGTGATTGGAGCCATACATTTTGTATGGCTCTAATCGCACTGCACCCACACCAAAAAGATGCAGGACCCTTTTTTGGGTCCGCACTAGAATCGGATTGCATGGCTATTCACACCTATGTGATCCGATTTTGCACATCACACCGCATTTTGCGGACCGCTTTCGGGGTGTTGTTAACTTAACATACACACCCACAGTCTGACCGACTCCTCCAACTTTTATCTCTTTCTCCTTCGATTTGAACTGGCACTTAGGAAAATCAGGCTAGAGCAACCAGTAGCTGATCATCGAGCTGGAGCGATTATAGCCTTCGAGGTCTTTTTCCAGCTGCGGATTTGTGTTTTTTAGTGATTTTACACCAGCGGCATCCTGGCCATCAGCCAATGTACCAGCAATGTCCAGAACTGGATGATATATACAGCGAGAGGAGCCCCCCCTTTTTTTCTGATCTTGTTATCTGGTAAGGTGCATAAGATAAGAGGTGGCACACTAGCACTGGGAGTTTTTACAAGAGGGGAGCTCGAGAAGAGTGAAAATATTTTGATGATACTATAATTTATGCGATTTCTTTGGAAGTACACCTCCTATGTGAAGGCAGACGGATTCGGTAACCTAACCACCAAGGAAGATGGTGTAGAAGTTTTTTTTTTAATTTATAAGAGGGTAAGAGTAAGGATGACAGATGGTTGAAAGGTGCACACACAGTGGAGTGGATTTTGCACGCATTGGCACAATTTTTGTAAAGTGCGTTTTGTTATGTTGAATATCATGCATTGTCGATAATGCACTATATGCGTTTTATATTTTTTTGAGGGCATTAAGAGGATTCTTTGGATTTTGTGGAAAAAGAATATTCACTAAGGAAATATTATAATCACTGGTTATTTTACACAGAGACGCTGAATTAAATTTGGACTGTTTTTGGACTTTGGGGGGTGAAAGTGGTTTTTTGGCATCAGGGGTTTTTTCATTTTATTACATTTTGGTTTATTATTTTGTGACATCACCTAGTATTATACTGATACATTCACTTATTCTGTAATCAATAGCAGCCAGACAAGTTTCAATGGATTGCTATGGGTTGCCACACTTTGCTTTTTCCCTTTGACTAAAGCTGACCATAGACGGATCAAAATTCGGCCAGTTCAACAGAAATTAAACTGAATTTCGATCCATTTATGGGCAGGCTGGCTGCATTGAAGTTGATCCAATGATTAATTTCAGTACAACCAGTTTGTCAGGTTTTTTTCTCCTGATCACTGCCGGAAGGCTCTCAGCACTCCCCACCCATAGAACACAATAGCGATGCAGGAGGGATTCCCCTTTCAACAGTGGCTGTGTTCTTTCCTTCAACACAATAGTAAAAAAAAAAAAAGTTTTAAGAAGTTGACACTGAGTTCTTACCAGTCACTTGGTTTCTGAGCTTCTGGGTCGGGTATCAGGTGCGATTCATCATCCAGCCAGCCCTCTGGTTTCACAGCATTGGGATCTTCTATTCTAATGGGCCCACCTTCATCCCTATAATAGAATACATTAACTTAATGAAAATAGAAATAGTTTTCTGTTAAAGTGCTCAGTACCATATATAAAATGACTTTGTGCTGCTGGATTAACTTTCACTTCGCAGAAACATGGACATGATCATACACCACAGATTGTCTGAACATTGGTAGACTCTGAAGACATTTTAATTGTCAATCACTGATTATTTAATATCTGTAGGTACCCAGACTCCTGATGTTACTCACAGCAGTACATCAAATGTCACGTCCTCTTTAGTGCAGGTTAGAAGATCTAATTGGTTATAGTGTTTAGCACCAGTCACCTTATGATTCCATGTACATTATAACAGCATTTTGCAGAAAATCACACTAATAATTCATACTAATGTGTTGTCAATTGTTCATCTATTCAGCCTAGGCCACATAAAGTGATCTTACCATTCTTCTGGTTTTACAGCATCAGGATCTGGAATTTTGACCCGCTCATCCCATTCTGTAGGTTTTTTATCCTTTGGATCATCGATTTCCTTTGGTGGATTTAAAGGTGGGATAACATCATCCAGAAGGCTTCCTTGACTAACAACTGTTTGATCAATAAGGATCTCAAAGGTGTTCTCTGGCTTCAAAACTGGATACAAAAAGAGCATTAACCACCACAATCAGTGTGGACTTCTGAATTTTACAAAACACAGCAGTTTCAGCTCTGGGTAAAGATTAAATATGATCATACACATTAAAATCTGATTGTAGAATCTCTGTGGGGTTTATTTACTAAAGCTGGAGAGTGCAAATATCAGGTGCACTTCTGAATAGAAACCAATCAGCTTCCGGGTTTTATTGTGAAAGCATAATTGAACAAGCTGAGGTTAGAAGCTGATTGGCTACCAAGCACAGCTGCACCAGATTCTGAGTGAACCAGCTTTAGTAAATCTCCCCCCAGTGTTACCACAATTATGTAGTGTGAGGACCACACTAAGCAATCGATTTAATGTGTATTCAGTCAAACATGCCCTTGTCCCTCATAGCTGTTGGTAGATGTACACTGTATCTGAGTACCACAAACCAGAAACTCTATTTCATTTTTAATATTGAAAACAAACTCCCCCATTGATCCATGTCTCCATGCTTTATTTTGCTGAGAAATCACTTTGAAAAACACTCCCTAGCATTTCTGGCAATGGCCATCTTGAGTAAGGGCAGATGATTCTAGATTTAGCATTTACTTCCTGAAATCCATCTACCCTTAGCTCAGGCATGCAGACAGGAGGATGTGCTTAGCTGAGAAAGCCCCTCTTCCCTCCTGAAGACCCAAGGGATGTAAGACATAATTTGCCCATGTCGGAAACAAGGAAGCAACTGAAGAAATGTAAAAAAAAAAGAAAAGTTTAAAGTGTTACTAAACCCAGGACCCTGCACTCACTCTATCTGGTCTCCTCAGTACACAAAACATGGAAATGCAATTATTTTAGTAAATATAAACTGCTAAATACGTTTTCTCAAGAGCCGTTAGAGCAGTCTTCAGTGTTCAGCAGAGCACTGGTAAAGCTTGTAGAAGGAGTTTTCTTTCTGCTCTAGGAGGATGCAGAACCCCTGACCTCTATCTAGACAGTACTGATTGACCCTGCGCTGACCACATGCACTCTCCCAAGAAAAAAAAAAGCAATACACATTTAGCTTATGATATGTCTTATCAGGAGATAAGAGGGGGGCACTGGAAGAAGGGGAGGATCAAAGAAGTTAGGATCAAATAGACTTTTTATACAATGCAGAAGATTAACCCCTTAGGTGCCAAAGTTAGTATAACAAGCATGCTTTACTACATATACAGACTGATTTTACTGTTGTGAGTTTAGTAACACTTTAAATCAAGTAAATATATTATATCCTTTCCTATCTACTTACTAATGTTAGCAGCATAAGGATTAAAATTAGTCCGTATTGATTGACCGAGTGAAGTTCCGTTTTAAGACCGTGTTCAACACATCTTCTTACAGAGTGCTCTATTCTACATGTTAATATATTCAATAGCAAGCAACAGCTATTATATCCAAAATTATGTAAGCCTGTATACTTATATGTAATGGTTATAAATTGTGAGAAGTGTATAATATGCAATCTCCTTTTCAACAGTTTGAAACCATACCATCATCACCACCTTCTTACAACTAGAAGTGGCATTAGAAGTGCAGTATTACCATACAGTAACAATGTCTCAGTATACTTGTAGCTGGTTCATTTTTATGATATAGTAGGTCCACTACTACATGCGATGCGTATATATATGAATATATTCTAGCTAGACTGTTTTCTGTTTTACTGCAGGCTGTTAACCATACAGAAATAAACATACTCAAAGTATAAAGATGTGTCTTCTTGTCTGTAAAATACTTTTTCAGATCAACATCAGGACGCTTTGCATGTTTTTCGTCATAATCCCCAATGATTGGATTTTTATGCCTGAAGATGAAATGCAGTTTATAATCTTCTCCGCATTTGTCTGGCCCAAACATGATTGTGTACGAAGTCCTGTCATGGAATTCCTCCTGTTTAGGATACAAAGTGAAATCAATGAAAATCTTGAAGATGAAACAATTGAGCACTGTCTGTGATACTTTTTTTTTATTTGCATTAACATACAATTTTTTTATCCTGCTTGTGTGTTTCATCCATTTACAGATGATAAACATGACTACTTTGACTTCCACCAATGGGGTAACTAATGGAAACCTGTGGAATTGACACTTGGCCTTACTGCTGCATCTATCCACAGGGATATAGAAATTATCCATTATATATCCATTTCATGTGTATGGGCCCAGGGGCTGATATGCATGTGACCTTGTGGTGCTGTAACTTTACAATTGATAGCCAATATACTCCAAGTTTTGGGACAACATCCTACGGGGAATACATGCATATAGGATAATTGATGTCCGGACATTAAGACATTGTTTTTAATGTTGTTTGTATGTCTAAATATATGTTGTGGTCACTGAGCTCAGTGTGTTACTTCTACTTTGCTGCATTGCAAAATAGTTTTTGCTAATAATTAATAAACCGTCTTTTAAAATTGTAAAGACTGATACAAGCCTTGTTTGTTGTCCAATTAACCACTTGTCTCATAGGGTGGGCTATACCCACTCATGTGACTATTTTGTTTTTAGCCTGTTTTTTAGTTTAGACAGCAACACTTATCAAGTGACTAGGCAATCAGTGTTCTCTATATTCCCTTCTTATTCTTTCAGTTTTTCAGTATGTATGTACCGTGCCTGGTTGATGTTCCTGGAAGCTGGAAATCACTGAACTAGACACCACTACTCCAGTCATTTTCACTTTATTCGGGGTCCCTCACTGAGGAACTGCCCTTCTGTATTCTGAACACAGGAGGTTATCTGCCTGGCACGGGCACCATCCAGAGAATGTTATGCATTTTCTGAATGAATGCACAGCATTCTCTGATTGGACAAGGTGGAGAGGCAAAGGTGGTGATGTCACAAGCTACACCTCATCTAATCAGAGAACACTTGCATTAATTGAGAAAAGCTGACCTCCATTGCTCATAATGCAGCAGGCCAGCCATTTGCCATGGGACCTGAAAGCAAGTAGAGTTTACTGGAGTAGCAGTGATTTCCAGCTTCCGGGGCATCGGCTAGGTATGGTATATGCATAGTTACATTGGTCCAGGGTGGACCAATGTAACTATATAAAAAAAAAACTATATTTGGAATTCATCTATAAATTGTTTTGTTCTGCACTGTGTCTCTGTGAGGGGGTAGCCATCTTTTTAGAGGCTTTGCTTCCTCTGGTCAGAGCCTCTAGCAAGAAGAACAATGAGCATCACAGTGGCGACATCACCCAATCTCACTCTAAAACACCTGAGACTAGCAGAGGCAGCAGTGCCTTATATCCCATGCTGAAGATATATGGCAATAAGGATATAGGCATACATAAGCACTTGGTAGGTACTTTAAGTATTTCTTATGCAAGAATACAGTTACTAAAAATTTCAAATAACATAGCAAATCTTTCATTTTTTAGTTAAGGTCCACTTTAATGTGTACGTGTTTCCTAGAAAATCCATTCACAAGTCTGGAATTTGTCATGCTTTGCATCTGCTCTCCACTTTTCAAAGGCGCTGGGCTGTGGGAAGGTCCCATAAGTGGTCATGCCTCATTTGTATGTGATGTTATGGCTTACTTTGGGGTTACATTTTCTGGCATTCCCTGCTGCTGAATAAAGACTTAAGAAACTGTGGGAGCTCTGAGATGGATGGGGAATGGGTGGTGATGGGTGCCCCATTCACATTTGATGTGCAATTAATGTAAATAAAGGTGAAACTATTAAATGCACGATTACCCAACTCCAGCCAAGGGCACTGTTCACGTCTCTGCACTTTCACCCACTACATTTTTTTCAGCCCTACAAGCAGCAGTTTGGATATTTTGACAGAAACAAATCTGCTATATGGCTGAACAGACATGGATGAAAAGCATCCACATTTTGGAATATAAACATTTTATCATCCTTTGTAAAGTTGGTCTATGCAGTTCAACTTGGATCTGCCCTTCTACCTTAGAAGCCTGGAAATGCTTTCCTCTGGCCTAGAGATATTAGGGGTCTGACCATCAAGATGGGACAGTGAAGTGGTCATAAATTGCTAGTTTTCTTTCATTCAGCTCACGGATACCTCCATCTATAAAATTGAGGTAGATGGAGGAATGCCCCTCCCGTCGGGACACTGTATTCTGTCATAATACCCTGGTCAGCAGCTGCTGATCGACAAACGTTTTTCATCAAATGATCAATTTCTGTTGAGCTGCACTGGCCGTACACTGATAAAATGTCAGCCAGCGTCTGCTGAACCAGCCGTAGTTCGATTAGTATATGGCCAGCTTTAGTTTGACAGTTCCAGCACATCCATCCATCTACCTGAGAGTAGGTGGAGATGAATGGTTACAGGGTGCTGGTTTTTAGCCCCTTTCACATGGATGATCTGATCAGGTCTGCCTGCCCGTTTATGAGGCGGACCCGATCGGAATCTCTATTCCCCGCTATGAAGCGGCGGGTATACATGGATATGTGTCCGTTTACACCCACTGACATCCAAGCTGATCTGATCCACCAATAAAAGATGAATGGGAATCCTTTCCCCTTCCATTCGTCGGATCGGATAGCAGTCAGTCGGAAACTGACAGGCGGTTCGTTTCCATCTGACCACCCCATAGAAACAGCGGGCTGTGTTTGTGTCCACTCTGCAGCAACAGAGCCTGTCATCCACTTGCTAACATGGATCAATGGAGAGATCCCCCACTGAGCAAGGAGATCCGCTGATGGGTCCACCCCGTGTAAAAGGGGCCTAAAACTATCTATGAATAGCTGAAATACTTAAAAGTATTTTCAATGAGCAGAAGTTGTGCAATGACATGATTCCCCTACCTATAGCTTTACATTTGGAGTAGATAATAAAACATCTGTTAAAGCAAAATAAGATCAACTCACACACCAGATTCAAACTGCTCGAATGAGAGAGGAGCTTGATATATGCCCCTCCACAATCAATGCTGTCCTGAAAATTCACCTCATACCTGGGTAAAAATAAAACAGAATTCAGATAAGAATAAATAGCTCTGTATATGATAGTGCACGGTATAGTAAGACGTCTATGATATTTCTCTGGTTAGATCAGTAAAAGATACATTCGGATTGAATGGTAAAGGGCTTATCATTTAGGAGCTCCTTAAAGCAAGTTTAAACCCAAAAAACAATGTAATATATTGAACTTACCAGCCCTTAGATGTGGTGGATGCACTAGTTTACTTTTTCAAGCTTTTATTTCCCTTTCTTTCACCCAGTGATCCCACCAGTAACACTTTCTATCCCAGGATGACAATGCTAACTCAATGCACTGGATCTATGGAGAGAATCATTGCAACCCTGGGACAGTGTATTAGGACTACAGAACACCTTCCCCTCTCACCATCTCTATAATATAGGTGTGTTAAATAGTTCCCAAACAGAAGTGGGAACAATGCTAACTGATAATACACTGCTCAAAAAAATTAAAGGAACACTTTGAAAACACATCAGATCTCAATGGGGAAAAATATCATGCTGGATATCTATACTGATAAGGACTGGGTAATGTGTTAGGAATGTAAGGATGCCCCATCGTTTGATGGAAATGAAAATTATCAACCTACAGAGGACTGAATTTAAAGACACGCTGAAACGCAAAGTGAAACAATGATGCAGCAGGCTAGTGCATTTTGCTGAAATTTAATAGCAGCAACTCAAAATGGTACTCAGTAGTTTGTATGGCCCCCACGTGCTTGTATGCATGCATGACAATGTCGGAGCATGCTCCTAATGATGGATGTTGTTCTGGGGTATTTCCTCCCATATCTGGACCAGGGTATCACTGAGCTCCTGGACAGTCTGAGATGCAACCTGGCGGCGTTGGATGGACCGAAACATGATATCCCAGAGGTGTTCTATTGGATTTAGGTCAAACAAGCATCAGGAGCATTCAATGGTATCAACTTCATCCTTCAGGAACTGCCTGTATACTCTCTCCACAGGAGGCCGGGGATTGTCATGAACCAGGAGGAACCCAGGACCCACTGCACCAGTGCACGGTTTGACAATATGTCCATTCCATGGTATTCATCCCAATACCTATTGGCAGTCAGGTTGCCATTATCTAGCCTGTAGAGGTCTGTGCATTCCTCCATGGATATGCCTCTCCAGACCATCACTGACCCACCATCAAAATGGTCATGCTGAACAATGTTACAGACAGCATATCGTTCTCCACGGCTTCTCCAGACCCTTCCACATCTGTCACATGTGCTCAGGGTGAACCTGCTCTCATCTGTGAAAAGCACAGGGTGCCAGTGGCGGACCTTCCATTTCTGGTGTTCAATGGCAAATGCCAATCGAGCTCTTTGCTGCTGGGCACTGAGCACAGGGCCCACTAGAGGATGTTGGGCCATCAGGCCACCCTGATAAAGTCTGGTTCTGATTGTTTGGTCAGGGACATTCACACCAGTGGCCTGCTGGAGGTCATTTTGTAGGGCTCTGGCAGTGCTCATCATGTTCCTCCTTGCTCAAAAGGAGCAGATATCGGTCCTGCTGATGGGTTAAGGACCTTCTACAGCCCTGTCCAGCTCTCCTAGAGTAACTGCCCATCTCCTGGAATCTCCTCCATGCACTAGAGAGTGTGCTGGGAGACACGGCAAACCTTTTGGCAATGGCATGTATTAATGTGCCATCCTTGAGGAGTTTGACTGCCTGTGCAAACTCTGCAGGGTCCAGGTATTGCCTCATGCTACCAGTTGTGACACTGACCCTAGCCAAATGCAAAACGAGTGAAAAACAGTCAGAAAAGATGAGTAGGGAAAAAAATGTTAGTGGCCTCCACCTGTAAAACCATTCCTGTTTTGGGGGTCGTCTCATTTCCCATCTAGTGCACCTGTTGTTAATTTCATTAACACCAAAGCAGCTGAAACTGATTAACAACCCCCTCTGCTACTTAACTGACCAGATCAATATCCCAGGAGTTTAACCTGACTTGATGCTATACTCTGATTAAACAGTGTTCCTTAAATTTTTTTGAGCACTGTAGTACAGAACAAGCACAGGGCGATGTCAGCTCACTAGATTTCTTCTTATAGAAGAAATGTAGCAAAACAGTTTCAACTGCATATTTAACTGACCAAAAGGCAACAAATAAGCGTTTATCATTGGGGGTTTAGAAACAATAAACCTGGCAGTCCTCTTTTCTTAATAACTGTACTTAGACACTGGCTTTTTGTTTTATTAATATATAGTGTAGAAAGCAACAATGTGCATTAACCATCCAAAGCCAAATATCCGTTTGTAGCAGTTAAATGTGGTTAATCAGTTTTTAACTGTGATTAAAGGATACAGGGGAAGGGTTATCAAAACTGGAGCAGACAGAATCTGGAGCAGCTGTGCAAGACAACCAATCAGCTCCTATCTCCAGCTTGTTCAGGTAAGATTTGAAAATGAAAGATACAAGCTGATTGGTTGCTATTCAAAACTGCTCCTGATTGTGGCTGCTCCAGTTTTTATAAATTCCCCTCAATGTGCTTTGCACATATACTGTATACTTTCGCCATTCAGGACCACATAGTTCACTTTAAGTTAGGCTATTATCTTATGTTAATATATATAAGATATATATAGTGTATACTGTATATATTGTTAATAGCTACAAATTACATTATTATTAAATCCATAAAAGGGAAAAGGTAATAGTTATGCTTTCACTGAAATATGCCTGGATTAAACATAGGCCTATAATCAGACGAAAGAGAAAATGAAGTATATAAAAAAGAGGACTTGATAGACTTCTTGGTCTTTTTCATCCTACACTTGTCTATGTTTTTTATAACCTGGTGAACTCCATTATGGCAGGATTTTCAGGGAACATAGATTTTGTATACAGTAAAGAGACACATGGGCATTTACTGCACATAGATAGGAGAGAGGGCACTTACTGAACAATCAGAGGTTTGTCTTCGAAGGTGAAAGGCTTCTTAAGCTTGGATGAAATGGCATGGTGTCTGGCTGTGGACTTTAGGACAAGGCCCAAATCTCCCGACAGCTTGTTTTCTTTTAGCTCTTCTACTTTCCACTCACCTAAATAAAGAAAAATGACTAGCATGGCTTAAAAATAACTACAATGGCTAAATGTTTTGTTCTGTCCTGAAGGCACAACAGGAAGTAAGATGAAGTCTTTGCAAAGTGAAAAGAAATCCCACTTGAAGATTTTACTTCAACTTCTATTAAAAAAAAAATCCCAGTGCTTTATATCCTAGTTGCAATGATCACCAGGATAAATAGGCAGCATGTGTCCCCATTAGGGAGATTCACCCTCTCTATTTGTCCAATTTATGATGAACTATACTGTTGGACGGAAAGTGAAGGGAAATCTCTCTAATGGGACACAGATGGCAAAAAAAAAAAAAACCTGACAAAGGTTATAACCCTCCCTTACTCTATCCTCTTGCCTTTAGTTCTACTTTGAAGGGGTCTCAGCTGACCTGCTTCCTTCAGGTGGCAAGAAAAGAATTGAATCAACGTCTCTATTGGCAGCATTTTATCATATTCGAGGCCCACCTTCTGGAAACCAGCTGCCTCTGTCACCAAACACACTGTGGGACCATTACATTGGTTCAACATTATGGCAGAGGCCTAGAACTAAGCACAGTGGTGGGGGGCAGTGGGAGTGTGTTTAGTGTACTCTCAGCTGAATATGAGAAGAATGCTACTAAAACCAGCACAGTGGGTAAGTGGTTAGCACTTCTACCTTGCAGCACTAGATTCGACGGTTCGAATCCCAACCACGACACTACCTGGCTGGAGTTTGCATGTTGTGCCTGTGTGGGTTTCCTCCCACACTCCAAAGACATGCTGGTAGGTTAATTGGCTCCTGTCTAAATTGGCGCTGGTATGTGTATGTATGAATGTGAGTTAGGGACCTTATATTGTAAGGTCCTTGCAGGTTAGAGACTGATGTAGATGTACAATATATGTAAAGTGCTGTGTAAATTGATGGTGCTATATAAGTACCTGCAATAATAACCTTGGGCAGTCCTTTACTCAAAAGTGAAAATGTTGCTTATTCAACTCCCACTCCAGTATCTTTTTTTTCCCACTTCTTTAATTATTGTCTAGGTGAGAAAGACATGCACTTAGGTACACCACCTATCCACACCAGCAGCCTCCTGGGACACATTACACGTGTGATCTCATACATGCACAGTGGGGAGCTGGCTGGGATTCCTCAGGACATCACAGTATTCTTCCATATACAAAATGGCGGCACTGGGCACCTGAATAAAAAACGGCTGTGGGAAAAAAGCACTGGACCCCCAGGCACTGGTAAGCACCTTATTTTTAAAGGTTAGCAGCTACAGTATTTGTAGCTGCTCACCTTTAATTTAAGCAAAAAAGACTAAGAAGAATATAAGAATATCTAAACTCAAAAATAATCATTTAAAATTTTTCAGATTACAAATTCCTAGATGAGTTGGAAGTATTAGTTTTCATTTTTCCAACCAAAAACATTTTCACCAGATATAGAAAATAGCTGTGGATTTTGCCAGAAATTAAACCAAAATTGTAGACATATCTATCTTCCTTCCCAGCTACCTTCTGTAAACTACAAACAACCTCACCTGGCAATATAATGGAGATGAAAAGATGTTTGTAATTCATATTTTGGGGCAGCCTGTCACAGCCATAGCTCCCTCTATAGATACATTACACTACAGTAGAGTGAGTGAGATTAGCTGCCCAGGGACAGGAAGTGTGCTATTAGTAATGCAGTCAACTCACCTATAGTCTGGTCATCTGATATATATAATTTTTGGGTTAGATACATTTTAATTTAAATTTCTATTAAAAGGCCAAAACTGTGAAATGCAATTTAATGCCATTAAGACTAGATTTATGATGTAAAATACATATTTAGAATTATGGTCCTACATACCGTGGTTTGATACTGTTCACTACAGATCTGTGTCTGCTGTGTACTAGCTATGTTAAAGAAGAATTCCAGGTATGGATATTTTTATATAGTTACATTGGTCCAGCTTGCACCAATGTAACTTTCCTGACAGCTCCATGTCAGCACAGCTGGGTAAGGACCTCGTCCCCCCATGCTTCCAGGACCTAACTCATAAATTTGAGCCCACCTGCAGCCTCAGCATGTTCCTCTTAACAAAACATTTTTCCTCCATGTGCAGGAACTAGGTTTGTGTTCTTCTACCTGGCTGGTCTAAAGGGCTGGCTGTCCGTCCGTCCATACGTGTGGAATTCAGTTGGAAGTGGTCCCTGGTGTACCTGCTAAATGACCCACAATCCAGGAAGCCCATTGCTGGTCCTCGAGGTGGCTTTTATATCACGGCTAACAGCCTTGTCTGGGTTCTGCTGGGTCCATGTGAAGTGGGCAGCGGTGTCAACAGTGTCTCCCCTAGGCATGCCTAGGGGAGACTCTGCTGACACCACTGCCCACTTCAGCATTGTGGGCACTGCACACCTGTGCAGGGCCAGTGTTTAAAGGCAAATGGCGGAGATTGGGTGAGCTAATTTTAAAAATGCTTTGTATCTAAATAAATGCATTGTTGTGGCTTGTTTCTGCAGCTGCTGTGCACACCCTGATCTCCTCCAGAGGTAGTTTCTGCATAACTGGTGCAAAAAGTTATACTTTGTCCGTTTACACATGGCATTATCCTGTTGGTGACTTCTCATGTTTACTTTACTATTGTGCCATTATGACAACCCCCTCAAAAGACCAGCATTCCCAGAGAAGGTAGAGGAGTCGCCTGTGGATGACTACTATAACCAGCATTGCCTGTTGGAGTACAGGATATCCCTTTTATATTTGTTTGTGCTCTCCGGGTTCTCAAAAAAAAAAAGAGAAGGTCTTTATGATGTCTACAATTCCCTTGGATGGTTTGTGTACATTTTATACAGAATAATGTAATTCTGTTGCAGATTCCTACCTTTTTGTTGCTCTTCTTAACAAAACATTTTCATCATGTCCTGTTCTCTAGCAGGCCAAGGTTTGGTTCAATAACCACCTAGTGACATCAGGGCTGTGGTTGGAAGCTGCAATACCGGCATCACTCTAGCTGTGATTAACCCTTTCTACTTCATTAAATTATTGTTGGTTTTTTAGCTGCTTCAAGCAGCAAGCAAAATCCTATGAAAGGATTATCTAGTCTGGCTCTGTCTCAGAGTTTTCCCAAACAAAACAACCCTCTTCAGACTTTTCAAAAAAAGAAGACAGATGAACATGACTTTGAAATGAACATGAGTTTAAGTGTTCCATTCACCCTGTGAAAGGGTTATGTATTCTAACAATGAGCAGTCTTATAGCCTTCTCAGGTAAAACAGCCTCTTCAGACTCTCCAAAGGGGAAGAGACAGATGAACATGACAATATGAATCTTGTTTTGTTCAAGCAACCAGAAATGAGGATGATGACACCCAACATGTTGTCACATTCATTAAACAAGTGGCCAGTGCACACAAAAGGAGTTGCTTCCACTCACCCCATGTAAGGGTTATATGTTCTGGCAATTAGAAGTCTCATAGCCATGCCAGGCCAGACAGCCTCTTCAGACTCTATGAACAGAAAGATTTGGATGAGCATGACTATGTAACCTGCTGGTTTAAGCAGTCAGGGATAGAGATGATAATACCTAACAGGATGTCAATTCAATAAACACATTGTCAATACACTCTAAAGGAGTGGCTTCCACTTACCCTTTAAAAGGGTTACCTGCTTTGGCAATGAGAAGCTGCCTAGTCTTCCCAGGTGAAGCATCCCTCTTTAGAGTTTCCAAAGAGGATGATGTGGACAGATATGACTGCATGACTACTGCTTTGTTCAAGCAACCAAGGATAAAGATAATGACACCTAACAGGTTGTCACATGAAGCTAAAACACACTGTGAAGAGGTTATCTATTCTATCAAGGAGCAGTCTCCTAGGCTTTCAAGCAAACAATCCTCTTCAGACTCTTCCAAAAGAAGAGTCAGATGAGCATGACTGTATGAATGCTGCTGGTTCAAGCAGCCAGTGATAAAGAGGTTGATACCTAACAAGTTATCACATTCATTGACCATGTGGTCAATACATTCTAAAGTTGTTGCTTTCACTCGTCTTGTGAAGGGGTCATATATTCTGCCAATTAGCAGTCCTAGAACCTTCACAGACAAATCAACCTTTGTCAGGTTCATCCAAAGAACATGTGGATGAATATGACTGATTCCTGCTTTGTTCAAGTAGACAGTGATTAAAATGATGGTGACTAAGTTGTCACAATTAAGCATGTAGCCAAGACACTCTAAAGGAATTGCTGAATTCACTTTCTGCAAAGGTTATCTATTCTGCCAAGGTCTAGTCTTCCTTTTAGGGCCATTATACATGGTCCAGAGCCTTCGCAAGCCAATCAATCCTCTACAGTCCCTTCTGAACAAGAAGGCTAGGATGACCTGTGTCCAGGTTTTTGATTCCTTTTGTAAGGTTGATGGAATGCCTTTAAATAGAAGCAAAGCTGTGGAAGTATTTAAAGTGCCTCCAGAGGATGGCTTGACAATTCCCTTATGGTGACTGAATCAAGTGCTCATTCTAAAAGATTGAAACATGTCACAGAAGAATGTCATGGGTTTCAAATTGCCCCTTTGGTCTCTTATGGCATTGGCCAGATACATGACCCTACCATTAGAAGATGCTGTGGCCTTTAAGGACATACTCAATCACTGCATTGTTCTTGATCTTAGAAGGTGAAGCCTAAATTAATAGTGGTAATTTTAGTTTCCTGCCTCAAGATGAACGTATGTTGAGTTAAAGGAGACTGAAGTTCAAGAGTCATTTTCCACGCTCAGTCCAGAGAAGGTAGCTTCGGCATTTCTGGTAGGGAGTCAAAGAAAAAACCAGCACATAATCCAAGAAGTCAGCGAAGACCTTCATGTCAGGATGCTTTCTGGTATTTTAGGGATTGTGCCATCCATACATGCCTTTTGGGCTTTTGGTTGCTACTCTTTGGACATAGGTACAGCTTTGGTGATGGACACAAGGTCCTTCAAGACAAGCATTATAGGCCATATTTGAGAGATCTTTCATCCTTCACATCTCAGATTCTCGACCTTGT